TAGGTATCTTCAGAACTATACTAAGTAATCTAGTCTAATTCAATCTCATTTCAGCCTTGTGAAACATACTTTTCAATTTCTTCTCTTTCATATGGTTCTATAAGAGCTCTATACTTGCTAGAACAATTCTATTTTGAAACCAAAGTGATCAAGTGTTAATAACAGAAAGTGACGACGAAAACTTACTCTTGTTAAAGTAGATCGAAAATCTATATCTGCATATAATTAAAAAAAAAAACCTTTTGAGTAAAAAACTCCGGTGGATGAGAGATCATTGAATTATTTTTAATGTTCCGAACCACTAGCTGCCAGTTATCTTGGTGTTTATAAGCTAGCTGTACAAGTAAAAGCTTTTCAAAGGGAGTCCACGAATCTTCATCTCTAAAAGGTATTGACATGATTAAACTAAAGCTCAAAGGCTCTCAACAGGTAAATAACGTACTGTGATACATATATATGTATCAAAAAGGTAACGATCATTTTCTGCGGTGATTTGGCTGGGCCAAAATTAATGTCAAAAAGCGGGCCAAACCTTTTACAGCTGTTTTTCATAAATTCTGGATTTACAAGAAATTACCGTATTAATTTTGCTATAGCAAGAGCTATAAGTAAAATTACCAGCTGGGCATTTTTTACTTAATGAAAGACTATGTTTCCATTAGTAAAACTTCTAGTGAAATTGATCAATTCCTGACCGCTCACGTGAGCGCCCAATCAAAATAATCAAAATATTGAAGATCCTTGATTTTAGTGAAGATTTCTCAATAAAAAGTTGATTAAACTCAGTAAATTTTTTTTATTTTAATTTTATATTTTTATTGAATTAAAATAAAAAAATTCATCTAATTTGGGTAGATGGTTGTTGAGAAATCTTCGCTAAAAGTTTTAGAAAAGATTCGAATATTAGAAAAAACTAAAAAATCGGGGTAAAATTTTTTTTTTTAACTTTAAACAACGATTTCTCAACAACCATTGATTCAAATTTGATAAATTTTTTTTTATTTTAATTCTGTAGGCTTATAGAATTAAAATAAAAAAATTTTATCGAAATTGGATAGGTTGTTGTTGAGAAAGTTTACAAAGTTTTTTTAAAAAAAAATAGCCGCAGCATTTTTTTTAAAAGTATCTAAACTTTGAACAAAGATTACTTGGCACTTATCTGATCAAATTCGATCAATTTTATTTTATTTAACTTTATAAGTTTATAGAATTAAAATAAAAAATTTGGTCTAATTTGATCAGGTAAATAAATGCTAAGTAATCTTCATTCAAAGTTTAGACATCTATAAAAAAAAAGTTGTGGCTAATTTTTTCTAAATATTTAGTAAATTTTCTCAACAACTACCTATTCAATTTCGATAATTTTTTTATTTTAATTTTATAAACTTATAGAATTAAATAAAAAATTTTCATCAATAATTGTTGAAAAATCCTTATTTAAACATTTTTAAAAAAAAAAATTGCAATAAATTTTTTATTTAAACTTTTAATGAATATTTTTCAACATGTATCATTCTAAATTTGATGAATTTTTTTATTTTAATTCTGTAAGTTATAGAATTAAAATAAAAAAAAAATTATCAAAATTGGATAGATGGTTGTTAAGAAAATTTACTAAATAGTTTAGAAAAAATTAGCTATAGCTTTTTTTTTATAGATATCTAACCTTTGAATGAAGATTACTTAGCATTTACCTGATCAAATTAGACCAAATTTTTTATTTTAATTCTATAAACTTATAAAATTAAAATAAAAAAAATTAATCAAATTTGATAAGTGCTGAGTAATTTTTGTTCAAAGTTTAGGTACTTTTAAAAAGATGCTGTAGCTAATTTTTTTTAAAAAAACTTCTCAACAACCTATTCAATTTTGATAAATTATTTTTTATTTTAATTCTATAACTTACAGAATTAAAATAAAAAAAATTCATCAAATTTAGAATAATACATATTGAGAAATCATTGTTTAAAATTAAAAAAAAAAAAAATTTATAGTTTTTTTAAGTTATTTGAATTTTTTCTAAAATATTTAGCAAAGATTTCTTAACAACTATCTATTCAAATCTGATGAATTTTTTTATTTTAATTCAATAAAAGTATAGAATTAAAATAAAAAAAAATTTACTAAGTTTAATCAACTTGTTATTGAGAAATCTTCACTAGAATAAAAAATATTTTTTAAAATCTTAAAAAGATTTTCAATATTTTGATTATTTTGATTGGATGCCACATCACGTAAATGAAAAATTTTTTGTGATCTAGCTACTAAGATGCTGTACAAAAAATGTGTAACAGATACTTAATTTTGATTGGCTAAGAGCAATGATCAAAAAATTAGACAAGAATTACTTGTAATTTTATTAATAAAATTGTAGTCACCTATTAAATAAAAATTGTTTCTAGATCAATTTTACTATAATTTCTTAAAAATTTTTATTTTTATAATAAAAAAATTAAAAAGTTAATTTTGGCCAAAAATTAGTAAACAATTATGTAATACAGGTCAAAATTTTAAAGATCCTCAGCTATTAGTCAATTAAAATTAAAGATCTGATATATATTTTTTGTATAGTACCTAATCAGTCAATAAATACATATCTTCTATAAATACACTCTATGTTTCAGTTCTAATTAATAATAATATTTATATAATTACTCTTTATAAATGCATACTTACTACAAATACATATTTATAAAAGTAAACATATTTATTGTGTATAAACAAAAATTTTGTATAACTTTATGTATATCAAAATTTTGAAATTTTAAACAAGAATATCTTAGCAATCACCTATAAAAATTTGATGAGCTTTTGAATCTTTTATAGAAAAACCATCTTTTGGGATTTTTTGATTAGGCTAATTTAAAAAAATTTAGACCAAAATGTTAGTTTTTATTCATATATAAAATATCTTTTTATAAACTATCAAATAAATAAAGCAAAAAGTAATTTATATATAAATAAAAACTGTCAATTTTGGTTTAAGCTTTTCAAATTAGCCTAATCAAAAAACTCCAAGAGTGATTTTTCTAGCAAAGATTTCATATATAGAATTAAAACAAAAAAAATTTATTAAATTTGATTAGATGATTGCTAAAATATCTTTATTCAAAGTTTGAAAAATATTTATTAACTAGAAGTAATAATAAAATTTTTAAAAATTGAATATATCTTGGCAACTACCTATACAATTGAGTATTTTTAAATTTTTAATTTTATAGACTTGTAAAATAAAAAATTCTATCAAATTTGTATTAGTTACCAAAATATTTTCATTCAAAGTTTGATAAAAAAATTAATGTAAATTACAAAAGCAATAATAAAATTTTTTAAAACTTTGAACAATAATATTTTTGCAACCAACTATAAAAATTTAATAAACTATTTTTATTTTTAAAAAAAGTTTATCAAATATGTTTAAATAATTGCCAAGAATTATTGTTTAAAGTTTTAAAAAAAATTTATTATTATTTCAATTTAATAAATATTGTATTTTTCAAACTTTAAATAAATATATTTTAGCAAACCTTTTAAGCAAATTTTTTTTGGTTTAATCTTACATATTTGTATAATTAACCCAAAAAAAAGCTTATTAAATTTGTATAGATAGTTGCTAAAATATCTTTATTTAATTTTTAAAAAAAATTATTATTATAGTATTTCTAAGAAAAAATCTATAAATAAATATACTATATATATATTGTAATAATAATTTCTTGATCTTTGACGGTACTACATGAAGGCTGAATTTGAACCAGGGCCCAAGATTGGTGAACCGAGCAATCAGGTCCTTTAGTGAGGGGACACACCAGCCGAACCGCCGGTTTAGACGCACTGGAGGAAAAGGCCATATGCTCCGAAAGTATGGACTAAGGGGAGGGTATCCTTCAGGCACCTAAAGCCTGGGCAGACCAACCCGTCCGGGTTGCCGGCTGGAAGTAAGGGAGAGACCAATAGAGAATCTGGGTAAAAAGACGGTTAGAATGTGGGTACCAGGGTTGTTGTGAACTTTA